GTCATCCAAAGAATACTTACTACCATGAGTCATAATCCGTTTTTTTTCTTTTCTTTGCATTATAATAAATATAAAGATTAATCAAATACATAATACTTATTAAGAATATGCGTCGCTCTTCTCCCTTTAGCAAAATTTCACTGCGCGTAAAAAATTCTTTCTTCTTGTAAAAAGTAAACCAATACATTGACCTAAATCGTAAGCTATAAATAGATTGTTTTAGCTGAAGTTCTTGCATGATTCATCTTTCTCTCTTTTCTCTTCACGTTGGAAAGAAAAACAGAAAAGATGAACCGCGCAAGAAGTTAAATTAAAAAGAACGGGTCTAATATTATGTGTGTGCACAAGCATACGAATATATGAGAAATATGACATGAAGGCGCCATTTACTTTCGAGTTTCGCAATCATTACGTTACGTATCTTCACAATTCGGCAAAATACGTTTGCCACAAGCTGCACCAAACAATTTTGTCTCATTGAAACCTTTCTTTTTTTTCATAAGAAGAGATATTTTTACAGAAATTATAAAATAGTAGCATGTACATATTAAATATAATCTAAAACGTAATCTAATCTATATAGAAATAAATATATAATTATCAATTTTTTAATTTGTATTATCAGCACACTTCTGCACGAAAATACAGTTATGGTGTCGTCGATATACACTTTTGATATTCTTATTCATGTCAAATATGACTACCACGATAGTCATTTTAAATTCTACAATCGATATATAGACTAATTTTAAGTAAGAATAGATTCCGCACTCCTATCACTTTCAGTTTACAAAAAGTATGATAGCTCAAAACACATCACTCTCTTTCTAAAGTATCGAATTTAAGATAGATGTTGATAGAACTGAATAAAGATACTAAATATGCTCAATTCTCTCTCAAACGTTTACAATGAGATTTTAAAATGGAAAACTCAAAGCTTTAAACCGTAAGAAATTGACCAATCATTGTTCTCGTCTCATTCGACTGTGATTGGTTATTTTTTTATAACTTAAGACTTAAAACTTAAATTTTACGTCTTAAAATTTCATTGCAGACGCCGCTTAAGGCTAAAGTCACAATATTGCTTTAAAAGGTCGTAAGCTGTAAATTGTAAGTGACGATATATTGGCCACAGAACTTATGCTTTTAGACCGTAAGAAATGAGTTTTTCTCAATTCGCTTAAGTTTAACGCTTAAAGCCTAAAGAATGCGCAAAAATAGTTTAAAGAAAGAAATTATTATCATTTAATCTCTTTCGACTTATGACTTAAGACCTCTTAAAACAAAGTTGCGGACCGAAACTAAGGAATGTGCAGTTTAGGACCATGGCATACAGAAAATTTATAAGGAAATCAACATATTGGATGATCTTAAGTCCATATGGCTTGACCTACACCAGTTAAAGTTAGATCTTTAATGCTTATAATTCAATGTAAATATTATATATATATATATATATATATACATACTATATATGTACATGCACATACCATGTTTATAGTCATTCGAAAATTGGTTTTTCGGACTTATAAACACAATTAAACTACTGTAATAGTATCACAAATTAAATTAAATTGACAAGCAATTTTTAATAATTTGATGCTCAATCAGGCATCACATTAGAAAGATATTAATATGCTGAATATCAATTTATTGCGAAAAATATTACCTCGGCCGAGAGTCAAACCCGGATCTCTTGTATTTTTAGACCGGAAGTAAAAAGAAGGAGATCTAATTAGAGGATGCAACATGAGTTCAAAACTTGATTTCGCAAAAAACATGGAAAAAGTTGGAGGTATATATCATATAGTAACGCGTACGGAATACACGTGTATGCTCGTTTTATTTTTAAGGCAGAAATTCTAATTTGTATAAAATTTTATTTTATTTGATTAAATAGTAAATGCATCAATTTTTATTTAAAAATACATACATTCATGCATAGTCATAGATTATCATTAAATTATCGTTCTTTAATTTACCGACATCAAAAAACTTTGAAAAATTAAAAAAAAATCAAATGAGACTTGAGTGACTACTTTCCTTTTCGAAATATATTCTATGAAAATACACAAATTTACAGAATTATAGGGAAAATATTTATCCTCTGACAATTTTCTCCGACAGGAGTGCTCGAATTTGTTCTTCCGTACAACGCATTTCCGAAGCCAGAAATCGAGCTCAACTTTTTCATAACCGGCCGCTTGAGTTTGATCTCCTTTTTATTTCATACTTTAGACTACCGAGGCGGTCGACTCCTCCGCCTCCCTCCCCCTACCCCTCCTCGACATACCGTCTTTGTGTGTGAATTGCACGCGCCTGTTATTAGGGACATTTTGCATCATCACACATCTACGATAAAGTCGTCTTTTTTATCAAGAAAGGAAGAATGTCATATTCCGGAACACACACGACAAAATTATAATAAAAAAAAAAAACGTTTTTCCCCTCATTTGAGAATTAATTTTATTATTTTCTTAAGCAGTCACCCGACGGTGCCGAACATGTATGGACATATTTCATATATAGTTATACATGTTTATGAATATTTATGCGTGTTTATGGATGTTTATATATATTTACACATATTCATGCATGAACAATTTTTTACTAGGCATGATCTACGAACACTGAATGTTTAATGGATATATAACTGTGACATGTAATAGATATCTGAGGTCTGATTTTTATTGCTGCATTCTGAACCGGTGCAAATAAGTTGAAGTAAAACAAAAATATATTAGTTTCACTTCAACTTATTGCACTGTGTGTACTAGTTGAGAAAGTGCAGCAATAAAAAACAGAACCGTAGAAAGAACGCGAGTTCGACGTCACGCATCGAACTGGTCTAACACAAATAATATCACTCATGCGAACATTCTGCACGCGCGGCCGATTCCCTCATAAACATATATAGTTTAGAAATAAGTATCGTTAAAAGATCAATTTAAGTGATTTAAATTTTCTATTTACATAATATTTCATTATTGTTCATTTTTTACAAAATAAAATAGATTTTTACACAAAATTTATTCAATGTCGTTTCAACGTTGCAGCAACATTAACAATTAATGTGGAAAAATTAATAAAGATTCAATTTGTCGTTCAATTTGTACAACATTGTTTCAACGCAGTAACATCAACAATCAATGTAGAAGAATCAATATAGATACAATATCGATAAAACATTGACATTTTAATATTCAACATTGCAACATCTCAGCAACATTCTTTCAACATTTTGTGCTGTATGGTAATCCCCGTTTGGTTTGTACATTTTTTTTCTTTACGTCCGCACTGTATTATGGTTTAAGAGCTCAAAATTTTGACCAACAGTTCATTTTTTCGAATTTTTTGATAGGATCTTTTATGTATAGAATTTGAAAGATAACATGTCGATAATCAAAGAATCATCGATTTTTTTATAATTGAGTTCTTACGTTCACTATAGAACTCAAAATTCCTAATTCCGAGAGATTCGCTTGTATATTTTTTCTCGTCGTATCATTTAGTGAAAATTTGGCAAAATACGTTAAGAAATTAATATTTATTCACAAAGCTTTTACACATTCTTGTTGCAAGTATTTACTACACTATTGTATAAAAATTTAGTAATCAAAACTTGTACAATCAAAGAAATTAAATAATACACACGTTTACGCAAATTTATGTCGCATAATAATAATAAAATAATAATACGGCCTGCAAAAAATCGCTTGATTTGGCTCACATAAACTCATATTTTGTAAAATATTTCTTTGTGATCAGTTTTATTCAAAATCTAATTACTATAGGCTGCCGGATAAATAGTTATTATTTATTCTTTTAAGCCATGCATTATTTTAAATATGATAAATTATTCGAAATCTGGTTAGAGGAAAGCAATAAGGATTATATTGTATAAAACCAGTATATTATGAGCACATATTAAATTGTTCATTTAAATTTATTATTACAAAATTTAGTTGGGTAACTCATTTTTGTATTGTGAAAAAACGCATACGGTGTAAAAAAATCTTAACTATCAAAATGTTAAAAAATGTCAAAAGAAATATTTTTTATTATAAAAATATATATGTTCATTTATAAATTTTGGTGAGAACATTTAAAAATATTAGGATCTGGCCAAAATCTCTTAAACCACATATAGTGCACTGGCGCGAAATGAGTTGGTGATTTGCTTCGAAGGCTTCGACATTTGAACTTCGAAGCTTCGATATTAAAATCTTCAATGTTTCGTAGAATCGAAACTTAAAAGATTCAAGGTTCGGAGCTTCGAAACTTCGATACTTCAACATTTCAAAGTTCGAAGCTACGAACAATCAAAATTATATCATTATTAATTTAATATAATAATAATTGTGTCGTAATAGGTGCGCACATTTACAAAAATTATACGACAAAATTTAAAATGAAATAAAGCTTCGAAGACATCTTAAACTTTGAAGTTTCGAATTTTTCGAAAATAACAGTTCTAATGTGAAACGCGGAACGTTCTCCGCAACGAGAAAGCGGAGATTCATGCGCATAATGTGTACCGTCTCCAGGTCTCCACGAGTCATACTGACGCAGTGCCGATTCGCATAACAGCGACAATGGCGAAGAAGTCTTTTCCACTCGCTTGCCACTTCCCTCTCTTTCCACCACGTATCATAATATTCGCGCCTGAGAGGAGGATAGGATCGTTACTATATGTAGTAGTAGAAGAAGGGAGGTGGAGTCGCGCTCGCGTCCGACCGGTACTCAGCCTCCAATGTATTTCTACGAGTTCGCTTGCGTATCATATACGTATACACACGTAACAGACGTTCAGAGTAATACATGTTTACGAATACATATTCCGATCGGTACGCAGTTTAACACACACGTACGTACACATACGCGTATTCGCAATACTATTGGTGGAAAAGAAGTTAGTCGCTGATCGCTGTAGTACAGTCCGGTGGTATATAAGGGCGACTCTTCCGCACTGATCATTCATTTTATAAGCGGAAGGCATAGCAAGGCATTACGGTGCAACTTTGTGCGTATTAATCCACTCTTGGAAAATTAGCGTTTGCTCTTCTCAAGCTTCCACGACACTTTCGGTGGACTTGGTAATTGCCAAACTGTTTCCCGCTTCTCGGTACAAAGTATATTTGTATCTAAGATTTGATTTTTCACTTACACCCGGTGAACATCTCTGCGATACGGTCCCATCGCTTTACGATTCGCCCGCGGCGAAAAAGTTAAGAACTGAGTTTTATCGCGGAAGAGAATCCCAACTGAATCTAGCATCGCAGAAGCGAATCCGACTGAATTTGGCGATTGAATCTCTGACGACTCTCGTACTAGCAGTACGTATACTTGATTTGCTTCTCAATGCTTACTCTATCCTCGTTATTGCCGAATTCTTTTTTCAACAGGACAGTCGAACAGCAATTTTTTTCACACAATTCTAATCCTGCATCTTCAAAAAAGGTTGAATAAGTACTTTTCTTGAGATCTGCGGAAAAGATCACAAATTTCGTGTCAGAGCGCTCGATCTTTTCTAAAGTTCAGAAATTTATGTTCAGAAAAGATCAAACACTCTTAAATACTGACGAGATTCGTGATCATTTCGCAGATTTCAAAAAGAGTGCTTGCCTTTTTTACACGGAAATAATTTTCTTTTTAAATTTATCCTGAAAATATGGTAGTTGTGATGCAACATAATATTTTAAAGATTTTTACCATGCACTTCAGTAAAATTAATCAAACTTATTTTATACTTTATTGTAATTTTATTAATGAACAATAGGTTTACATTAAAATTCTTTAAAATACAATGTTGCCCCACGATTATCATCCTTTCAGGGTAAACTCTAATAAGAAAAAATTCTTTCCGTACAAAGATTCAAAAAATTTTATTTTTTCGATCACTCTGTTGAAAAAGAGATAACGAATATTAATACGATCGATTAAACATTACAGGTGCTAAAATATGATCGTTCTGGCAGTTCTGATCGCAGAATGGTCTTTTCTGACCATTTTTTTATCGATCTGTATGGTCACGCTCTCGATGGCATTAATGGTACGGAGGGCCAAGTTTTTGTATGCTTTAAAGAATGTGCCATATCCCACAGCGTTGCCGATTGTCGGTAACGCTTATCAACTCAAATGCACGCAAGAAGGTAAGTCCTAGCTGATAACTTCTCTATCATATATTTGTGGTGCACATATTGTTACATAGTCATATGGGACCTATATTTAATGTCGATTCCGAACGACGAAATTTTGTTAGAGAAGTTTCTTTGGGCAAAGGTACCGTCAGTGGTTTGCCATTGGTTCCCGAGAGGAGTGGAGATACGAGCAAATAATAAAAATATGTTTTTTTGATGCCACCGGGAATCGAACCCGGGATCTCTAACATTGCAGACCAATATGCGCTGTCCGCTATGCCACGCTCGCTCCCAAAGATTCCGTATTCACTATACAAGCTAAGAAATATTTTACTGACGTAGTTAAATACAGATCTGGAAAAAATTTGGTTAGGCTATTAAAATAATTATATCGGGTTAGGAAAAAAAGTCGATACCCCCGAATAACTCGGAAAATATAAATTTTGTAGAAAAATATTTCAGATAAAAGTTACAGAGTGTAAAAAGGTTCAAATATTGTTAACAAAATCGTTTTTTAAATGTAATAACACATGTTGATGCATGACTGTCGAAGTGTTGGACCGATCGTGTTTAAAAATAAATGTAAATAATATCCGTCAACACCGCTAATATTTGTCGAATAGATTGCATAAAATATATTGTTACGAGGAAAACCATATTTACAACATAAACAACGAATTTACTGAAGAATCTAAAAAATTAGCCAGATACAGATCTGAAAATAATTTTGTTGGATTATCAAATTTTACAGAACACTCAAGTTAGTTGTTAGATTGTTAAAAATTTTTGCAGTATTGCCCATAATAGAGTTTTGTACACAATTATTTTAACAGTCCAATAAAATTATTTTTATATTATTGTCTATCTAAATTTTTAGATAATTTAGTAAAATTGTTTTTCTTGTGTCATAATCGAAATAATGCTTGTTTATCTAAGGATTGAAAATAACAAAATATAAAAAGGAGAAAAAATCATATCATACTATAATACGTTCATAATACATTTTATAATTTAAATTGTATATACAGGATTAGTTGAAAAAATGATTATTTATGTAAAAGTAAATAAAAGAATAGTATTTTTGTACAAAAAATGATGAGAGAAGATCGAATTTGAAAGTTTATCCGATAAAATCACATATTGTTTAATACTGAATAGTTTGTTTACATTTTATTTACATATAATAACTATTACATGTTACAATTATTATACAGTATAAGACGTGATACTTTATGCTAAAACAAACAACTTTTTTTTGCAAATTTGCATCCGACGAGTAGTTTTTGTAGGAGAGCAAGTTAAAGTTAACAAATGAACAAAAAAATTATTTATCGAACGTAATTTTGTTAAAGGAAAAAGTTGTTTGTTTCAGCATAAAGTATCGTGTCTTGTACTTCGCAAGCTTGAATTTTGAAACACCCTGTATATATAATTATCAAATTGTATTAAAGTATGTCTCTGGCTACAATCGCATTAGAAAATTAATCGCAACCTATGAATATACCTCTCCGTGCGTGCTTTTTAAAGAGAGAAACTTTTGAGGCGAGCGTACACACATACACATAAATATCGTATCTGTGTACACGAACACTAGTCCGCACTGAATTCAGTTGAAATTTAATGTGGCAAGCATGTCTTGTCTTGCTGTTCGGCGTGCGAGAAAGAGAATTCCATCAAGTTACAAATTTAAACTACTCTAATTCAGAAACGGTACTGCTAGGCCTCTATTTTTCTTTTTATAAGGGTCCTATAGTATTACTAGATTACATACTTTTTTTTTAAATCTGTAGAAGATTTTCGCTGCAAAGTATTAAACGTTACTTCAGCAATGCTTGGTATAGGAGTTTACGTGTTAAAAGCTGAAACTTTAAAGGTGAATATCTCCATTTTGACACTGCTAGGATCTTTGAAATTTTAACCATATATAGATAAAATTATTTTAAACATAATATTTAAATTTTAAAAAAATTTGTAGATACTCGTTTTTTTGGAGAAATACCTTAAATAAAATGCATAAAAAAATTTGTTTTGCGACAAATTATATTTTTATTCATACATTTTATAGAGTAATAATTTGCAAAGAATATAAATATTCGTTTTGAAAGATAAGATTAAAACTCTCTCTTACTTTATTATTTCATATTACAAATATTACACATCAAAGCATTTGACCTAAGTATTAATAGAGCAGTGCGTTTTTCTGTCTTATGACGCGTAACGCATTTGAAAAGCAATGAATCTGTATTGACATGAGACGACGTTTGCATTTTTCATATGTAAAGGATTCCTTTGTCATATAAATCAGCGTAAAAATATCTTAAACAACATTAAAGTCAAAAGGACAAATAAATCAGATTTACTTCAGTAAATGGAATCAATATTCTATTGTTAAAAAAATATTTAAAAAGAAAAGAATAATTAAGAGTGACTTTATGTTCGCTTTGAGGAAGTAGGTTTGTATGGCCAAATTGAAATGTACGAATTTATTTTAGAAAAAGAAGTAAAATAATTTTTTTTTGCCTATTTATAAGATGCTATTTATTATATTGTATTTGAGATGTATAAAATTTAATTGTAATACAACTTATTAAAAATATAAGAATTTTTCTGTCATTGAAGATAGCCCGAAAATTTCGAATGTTTCTCGTTTTGTCGCGATACCGAGACTTTGAAGAAAGGAATTTGCCATCTCTTGATTTATAGTTTCCTTTAGAGGGAATTTTATTGCTTAACAATATCAAACACTTAATGAAGCAAGTAATAGAATTAATCAAGATAAAATTTAAAAGAAATAACTAATATAAAGTACACACAGACAGAACATTTTATTCCAAAAATTATTTAAAATACTCTTCTCTAGTCTCGTTGCATTCCCTGAATCTGTGTTGCATATTTTGTCATACTCTGTAAAATATTCATGAATATAGAATTTTACCTAAATATTTGCTTACACATCCTTTTACGATACACTCTCTTAAAACTTCATGAACTTTAAATGCTCTCAAATGTAAAAACCAATTGGGTTCGAAGTTCAAGCATAAGAAATCGAGCAGTTTATCATGCATCAGAATGAAGTTCCATAGGACTAACACGGTTTTTTAGGGAAATGATCATTTACAAGTACTAACAAACAATTTTTGTGACAAAATGTTCTGCCGTATGTATTTTTGTTTTTGTTTATTTCCATTAAACTGTATCTTGTTTAATACTTGTTCCATTATTTGTTTTATATCTGTATTGTTAAATAATAAAATTCTTCCAACCTCGAAAACTAAGTGTTTCTAGACCCAAGTTTATATAAACTTTTTGAAATGCTTGGTTGATATGAATACGTTCCTGATATATTGAACAATTGCAGCGTTTTAAACTGTAATGAATTTGATTACTTTGATGCCCGTTTCTACCAATGTAGTTTAATTTTTTTAAAATGTTGGTTGAACTAATTCCTCATTTTTTTTTTAATTTTAAGGATTAGAAAAATGAAGAGTAATGAAACAAGATTGAAGTTAATCTACATTGGTAGAAACGAGCATGAGAGCGATTAAATACAATTTGCCAGGAATTCATGTTTGTTCCTAAATATGTTTTCGAATACAGATCAACTCAGGTCAAGTCAAGGCAATCTCTATAAGTAACCCAAGATGAAATCATTATGATGCCATTTATCACTCTCAGAGTGGTCAAACTTGCTACGGCTGACAGTATTATTATTTAAATACACCCTCTGTTATAAAGTCTTCTAAAAACAGACTTCCTATATACAATTCATATTATATATAGGCTTTTCTAAAGAAAGATTTACAATAATCATCTCGCGCAGTTTTCTCGTGCTGTTTGTCAGCGTGTATATATATAAAACGGATTTTCACGCCACATCGAATACAAGTTTTAGCACTATTGGATTTTTATTTCCTCAATTTCTATATATTTTAATAAATCGTATATTTTTGTATATTTTTTAATAAATCAACGGCATTCTATTTCTAAAGATCATGAAGTCACACTACAATAACCTGCAAAAATTAAAAAATCAATTATTTTGACTTTTACAAATCCTCTGTCTCTTCTTAATGATGATCTTTGAAAATTTACCTCTCGCAGCATCCAATTGAAAATAATCGAATAAGTATAAATATTACGTAAGAACAAGTGCTGCGCTGTAACATTCACTTTTCTTTCCTTCTAAGTATAGAAAATGCAACGTTAGCATTATATCGAGAATATACTTAGCACATTCCACATCTATTATTTAAATAAATATAAATCACTACGAATTATCTCTCGGTATCGCTTAAAAATGAAGACAACTTTCATCTTTAAACATAAAAATATTATCATAGACGTTGTGCTTAATAGTCAAGCATAACTGTCAGTAATAATTAAACTCCATCGTATGTAATGATGTAATGCAATTATCAATGCTGCATTACTAATTCTCGGACATTCTAAATTCTCAAAGACAGTTTTACGCTATAGGGAATTTAACTTTCGGGGATCGACGAAGTGATGCGAAATTCACGAGTCGCCTTATATCTAAACTGTTGCTTTGTGAATCCGCGACGCAAACCCGTTCGGAGAGTTTAACTCAACGACTTTGGTACTTACAAAATTTGCATGGGTAATTTTACAACCAAAGAGTACAATGCAACGAAAGATATTGAGAACAGACACGTGCCGGCCGCTGCACGATCAACATTGTGATCAGATAAGACACCTGAACTATCTGATTCAGATATTCTAAATCAGTTTCATTCATTCACGAGTATTTAAAAATTTTGCTAGAATAAAGCAGCATTTTGCGAAACGTGAAAGTAAATTTTTATCACAAACGACGCTGGTTTAATGATAGTGTTGTAACTTCGCTGAAATACACACACACACACATACTTATATTTATATTATTTATGATCCATTTTATACCATGTAAAGAAAATGTAACAATTTTTGCGTTCACGAGAAAGAGATATATTTTACGTCGCAAAAAGTTAAACAATTCATTCTATATACGCACA